AGGCATGAACGTCTGGACCCCAGTGCCTCCTCGTATAGATGTGTAGGCTGAGCACAGGGTCCAGCCTTCCTCCCCAGTGGTCCTTTTGGGTGGCTGTGAGAGGGAGGGGACTGCAGAGTGGGGGAACCATAGAGGGCAAGATGGAGGGGTGGGGAGGGGTGGGGAGGGGTGGGGAGGGGTGGGGAGGGGTGGGGAGGAGTGGATGGGGAGAAGAGGGTGAGGGAGGAGGTGAGGGCTGGGGAGAGGGAAGAGTTTTGGGGAAGTTGTGGTTAGGGGAAGGGTGAGCAGAGGGGGTGTGTTCGGTCAGAATGAGGCTGTCTGTGCAGAAGAGGACATGGACGACAGGAGAGGGACAGAGGTGACCTGGTCACACCCACTGTCATTCCAGGCCACTCTGTCACATTCTGGCCACCAGGGGGTGGCAGAGGCCCACGAAATTGACTTAAGACATCCTGAGTGGTAATTCCTATGCATATCTACATAATAAAAGCAACCCTAGATACAGCTTTATTTTCATTCCCCTTATGTGTATGTGTTTATATTTTTGCAAGCATGTGCCTAGTGTGTGAAGTTTCCAGCCGAAGCCTGGAGACAGCATGGAGCCCCTGGAGCTGGGGTTACAGGTGGTTGAAAACTCTCTATCAGTGTGCTGAGACTGAACCTGGATCCTTTGAAGGAGTTGAGAGCTAAGCCATCTTTCCTGCATCTTCCTAGTGTTTCATAACCCTTGGGGTAGTCCACAGAAGGTTCCTGAGAGGCTCTGGTCCCACTCTGAGATGTACTGTTCTTCCACGCCCTTTTAAAATGTTCTTTACCAATAAGATGTTCAGAACTCACAGCTCACAAATATGTACGGCAGTACAGAGATTATACAAAAAAATTACAGAAACACAGAAGGAACAGAGACTCTTTAGTGGAAGTTCTAATGCAACGCTCCCCCTTCTCCCCAGATCAGTAGAGCTCTCCCCCAGCAGTGTCCCAGACTCATGGTCCCCTATTGTGTTCACCTGGCTTTAGGGGACAGACCTAACTCCTGCCAGGATTTGCCTCTGTAATCCAGTGGTCCTAGGTAGGTTTCTATCCATTGCTAAGCCTCCAAATATCACACACACACACACACACACACACACACACACGTCACATGATAACGGAGGAGGGCATGTGCCTGGCATCTGTCTGTGGTCACTCCTTCTGGGAGGCTCTCTGGTAGGAGAGGCCCAGGCTGTTCAGCATGCCAGGACTTGGAAAATCCCTTCCTGGGCTGCACAGGGCCTTAAACTCATTGCAGCTGAGGATGACCTGGGTTCACCTCTTCATACTTCTGTGTCTACACCTGAGTCCTGGAACTGTGGCTATACCACACCTGGCCTGTATTATAGCTGTGGCCCACCTGGCCTTTGCTCTGGGCCTCAGCTGGCAGCAGTTGGAGCACTTGATGGTGTGAGGCACTCAGCTTCCAGCAGAGTGATTGATTGACAGCAGCCACAGGTAATATGCTGGCCTTGAAGCCCTGAGGTGGGCTGTGGGTTTTTGGATCCTCAGCTCCAACTTTTGTTATTGTCACACTGTCACACATGTCAGCTGTTGCAGTTATCAGGCATAGAGTATCAGGACCCTTGAATCCTTAAGAAAGACATAAAGATATATTTTCTTTTATTTTTAATTATGTATATATGTTTGTGCCTGTGTGTGTGTGTGTGTGTGTGTGTGTGTGTGTGTGTGTAGGAGTGCAGGTACATGTGGAGGTAAAAAGAGGGCTCCTGATGCCCTCACTGGAGTTATGTTCAGTTACAGAGCTGCGGGTCCTCTGCAAGAGCAGTGGGCTTCTCAACCCCTGGGCGGTCTCTCTAGCTCTTGGAGCCTTGACTGTTGAATATTGGTGACTCCTACATCTCATCTGGTGACTGGGTTTTTGATTATTGACTCTCCAAGCCCCTGTGTCTTTCTTCAGCCCAGCTTCCTGGCTCCTCTCACACTCGCTCTTCCCTAGCTGTCCCTTCTCCCTGTGATCTCTGCTGAGGCCACTCTCCTTGGTTGCCCGCTTTTCACCTCTGCTGCTGCTGGTGTCCCTGCCAACTTACCAATGCTGTTCTTGATGGCTTCCTCAACTGCTGTTTCCATCGTCTCCTCTCTGTTCACGCGATCACGATCAAAAGAAGTTAAGGAAAGTCCACTTGAGAGAAGTCTTGTTTGTCCCAACTCAAAACACTATTTGTGGGGCTGGAGATGTGGCTCAATGGTTATCAGTGCTTGCTGCTCTTACAGAGGACCAAGGTTCAGTCCTATCAACCACAGAGCTGCTCACATTTCAAGGTTCTCACTCTGTGGCAACCAGGCACACGGGAGGCACACATACATGAACACAGGAAAACATGCACACACAGAGATGAAAATAAACATTCAAAACCACTCTTTATCTAACATAGGTGTTTGTGTGCATGGGTGTGAGTACAGGCCAATGGGAACTGGCGTGCTCCTGTCATGGTTCACACATGGAAGTCATAGGATGTGGAGTCAGATGTCTCCTTCCAGCTTTATGAGGAGTGGGTGATCATACACAGGGTGTGGGGCTTGGTGGACAATGCTCTTAAAATCTACTTAATCCTCTTGTCATCCCCTTCCTTTGTTGTCGTTTTCTTTGTGTCTTTCTTTCTCTTTCTTTCTTTGTTACTTGTTTCTTTCATTGTCACTTTGTTTCTTTTCTACAGAGCAGGCCTGGAAGGCAATATTCAGACTCGCCTGGACCCAAACAGAAATCCATGTGTTTTGCTGTGCTGGTATCAAAGGTGTGTGTCACCTCACTCAGCCCCCGCACTTTGAGACGGTGTTGTCAAAGCTCAGGCTGACTTTGAACTCTCCATTTAGCTGAAGATGGCCTTGAGTTCCTGATCATCCTTCCTCTCCCTTGTGGGTGCTGGGAGGGCAGGCCTGCCTCTCTCCCTGCCTCAGGATCACGTGTCACAAGCAGAGTCACCCGTGGCTTCTGTACTAGTGCTTTGGTCAGTGTAGCCGGCTGTGACCTAGAAGCCCTGGGGGAGGACACACTGGACATCCCAGTCAGTTCCCCCAGTGTCCTCTCAGGCTGTCTGATCTGCTCCTGTTCTTTCCCTCCCCCATGCCATGGAAGGCATAGGCTGGAGGTCCATCAGGAAATCAGGTTTCTAATATCAAGGCACCTGGGGTCCAAGGTCTCCTGCAGGCTCCTGCTGAGCCTGTGATGCTTGGAGAGGGGGCTGTGCAGAGCTGGGTATGAGGTGGGAGTGAACAGGAATGGTAGGTTTCTGGAAGATCTACCCTCCCCTCATCTTAGCAGTTACTGGAGCTAGAACAGGGCTCATGTGTTGTGGTAATTCATTCTGCCAATAGTATTGGGAGACTGCTCTCAGGGTGTGGCTTCTGTGTGCAGCTGTGATCACTTATAGGGAAGAGGAGGGGTCTGTCTAGTCTCCTGTGGGGGTCAGAGGTCTGAGGACAGCTTCCAGCACCCCATACAGAATCCTTCAGCAGCTCACCACCTTATCTTCTTCACGAATGTTCCCGATAAACATTGATATGTCTTTATTTCATGCTCTGCCAGACTCACCCTGGCTTATACTCACGGTATCTTCTTCTTTTTTTTTTTTTCTGAATCCAATGCCTTTTAGTTTTATTTGATGATAAACAGACAAGATTAGCACAGCCAGCAACTCCAGTGACTTTTGCTCATGCTACTGAGAAGCAAGTCTTAGCTCCCCTCTCCATGGCCACGCCTCAGCACAGAAGCCCTGTTCTTTGAGGCTACAGGACATCGACACCTGTGCAGCCGCCCGACCATGCTGGACTGTCAGCACTTGACTGAAATAGAAGCCTTGGGTTGTCTCAGTGGAGGGGTGGGGGACTCTAAAAACAACCGTGCCTGGTTCTGGACACAGTCCTTGTCAAACCACGCACAGACAACACTAGCCCTCGCCCCATTGGGCCTGCTTTTGGCAGGGTACCTTACTTTTCAGAGCTGCGCTTCTTAAGTTAACAATATGAGGACTCTATCAGAACACCAAACTCCCCCAGATGAGCCTAAATTTGAGCAAGCAGAAACTGGGATGCAACTATTAGAATCATAAGGATGGGCAGCGGGAAATCACCCTAAACTTGTATCCTAGCTCAGAACTCCCTGTGAGGGGGTAGGAAGGAAAGGAGAAGAAACAGCATGTTTTGCACAACTTGACAATACTGTGGGCGAGTCCCCAGGACCACCAGGCTCCACGGCTCCCCTACTATCCGGAGAGCTGCTCATACAGCTTGGGCATGTAGTCGTCCCACTCTGCCTGGTAACAGGTGCCCGCCACGGTGGCTCCCAGGTGATACTCCTTGTGGAAGGCCGCCACCTTGAACTTGTTGCTGAGGATGGGTTTGTCACAGTTTAGTGGCTTGTCCTGCTCATACAGCAGCCAGACATAGCGGTGGAGGCCTGTGCCACTGGGAGGCCCAGAGCCCACGTAATCTGAGAGAACTTTGCCACTGCCGATGTCATTGCCCTTCTTGTTGACCACTCCCCGGATTTGGGGTCCTTCCTGCTGGGAGCGTCGGGGTCTGTGATGACCAGGGTGTAGAGTTTCCCTGGGTCAAGGCCATCCCATGAAATGCTGCTGGGCCTGTTCTTAACCTGGGTGGGCGTCAGCACTTTGCCCAACTCGTCCACCTCCTGCAGGCTCGGCGGCCCCGACCGCTGGCTGATGTCCACAGGCATGGTGACAAGGGCGAGCACACACGGGCTGAGTCCCGAGTGACAGGAGTTGACATCACTCTGAAAAGTCCCTCCCAGCCACTGATGCTTAATAGAGACTCAGTGAGGGTTTGTTTTCTTCTTTCTGTCACCCTCTGACATCTCTTTAACATGTGTAGGTCTCAGTAGTCTCCCCAACAGGCAGGATTGGTTCTCTGTGGCAGGGGTGAGCCTGTGGTGTCGTGAGGTGGACTTTCACCTCTTTGTGACAGATAAAAAACCTGCAGAGTGACACACACCCGTTTCCATTACTTTAGCTTTCAGTTTTGATGGCTGAAGCTCCGCTTGCTCTGGAGGCTGGGAGGGCTCTGCTGGATAAGGCCGTGTCGAAGTCTCTGCAGAGGCCATGACAGCTTGTGCCGGGCTCTGCTTCTTGTTGCTGCCTAGAAACCACGGACCTGTTGGAGATGTGGGAACCGGAGCCTGGTATTGGGGGGAGCAGAGCTTAGAGCTGTGAGCATGAACACCTTGGATCATGGCTGGACTCTGAGAGGAAGATTTGGGGTCTGCCGTGTCCCTTAAGGCCTCGAGCTGTCCCCCATGAAGTCACACAGCCTTTCAAATTTTGGAGCAAAGAGAAGCAGGTGAGTTGGATTTGAAGACACCTGTGAGTTGTTCGAAGGAACCAGAGCTGAGATTAAGTGCAGTGAGTCCCAGCGGGTCACGTCTCTGGTGGTTGAGCCCTGAGACAGCTCTGAGTTCACTGAGTTTTCCTTGTCAGGTTGTTAGGTTGCCCCCTTACCTAGCCTTCCAAACAGAAGTTGGTTGGGGCAGACTGGAGTTTATTTATGTTGTTTTCAAGCCTGTCTACACCATGCAGGGTCTTTATCCTGACTGAGACTATGGAGATAAATGTGTCTGTTGGACATGTGTGTGTGGCACCTGCCGAGTGTAGGGTGACATCCTGGAACCACAGCAAGGATTGACCTGGGAGTGTGGTGTGGACAAACTCCTAAAACAAAAACCAGTTCAAGGCATTTGTGACGGACACCACAGCCTCCTGGGAGACATGTCTGTGTCTGAGGCTGCCCAGATGCGGTCTGGCCACAATTATGGAATGGTAGAAACACAGGCCTGTGCCATGAATTTCCTGAGGGAGGGGCTGGGGCTCTATGTCTTGGAGGTCACAGGCTGTATGTGGACGGTGGGGGGTTGGAGTGATGGTGACTACTCTGGGCTCTCCTCTAGGAGCTGAGAAAGGCAGGGCCTTGTTGTCTGGGCAGAGCTTGGCCTCACTGTGGCTGGGATGGGGTGGGAAAGCGTGAATGGCTTCCTCTCAGGTGACTTGGAGGTCCCCAGCTCCCTGTGTTGTTCTGCAGGGCTGGGAGGAACCCAGGCATGGATGTTTGTGAGTGCTGGGTCACAGGGGATGCTCACCCTGTTACTATGGACGTGTTTGTCAGTGGGGCTGACACCAGCCCTGACAATCCTCTTCCTGCTCAGATGTCCAGTTTCTGGGTGGAATTTGTCTGCTTCCTGCTGCCCTAGGGTCTTGGGTTGACTCACCCCTTATCTTCCCAGCTCTGAGGACATGGGAATTTGCTGCCAACATGCTCTGCTCTTCCAGTTTACCTGCCTGCTTGTCCTTGAAGAGCTGTTCGCCCCGGTGTCCACAAGTGAGTGTGTCCTGGTCTCTCTTCCCCTGTCTCCCTCCAGGGACTGGGATCGGCCGTGTGTTAGTCTGCTCTCATGTGCACGGGACTCAATTATCCCTGGGATCCAGGGTTTTCACTGTATTCCCTTAGCAATACAAGTCTAGGCTGAGCGTGTCTGCGTGAGCATTCCCGAGACTGTGAGTCCTTGGCCAGCCTGAGCTCCATGGCCACACCTGACCTGGGGAGCAAAGTCATCATCAAAGCCTTAGAGCTGGCAGTGTGCCCGGGTGTGGGGAGCTGCAGGGGCCAGGGTTGGCTGAAGCAGAGGGAGCCAGGGAGAGAGAAGCAGGGGCCGATTGTGGGAGGTCCTGCAGGGGGGAGGGTGGGAGGTCCTGCAAGGGTGAGGGTGGGAGGTCCTGCAGGGGGGAGGGTGGGAGGTCCTGCAAGGGTGAGGGTGGGAGGTCCTGCAAGGAGGTCCTGCAGTGGTGAGCTGGGAGGTCCTGCAGTGGTGAGCTGGGAGGTCCTGCAGGGGTGAGGGTGGGAGGTCCTGCAGGGGTGAGGGTGGGAGGTCCTGCAGGGGTGAGGTGGGAGGTCCCGAGGTGGAGCAGTCCTGTGGGACCTGGTGATCCCTGGTGGGAACTGCAGAGTGAGGGCTGAGCTCTGAGTAGAGCAGGGTGTGACTGTGCTCTGTGTATAGTGGTCACAGAGGTGGGGCTGTGAGCCAGCAGGCAGGGGTCCTGGTCTTGTGATTGACAGGAGTGGTCAGAAGCAAATGGAGCAGCACACAGTGGTTAGTTGCCCTTTGGGCACCCTCAGTGCCAATGTCACAAACCTCCTGGACTAGAGGTCCAAGGGCAGCCAGAGGGAGGCAGGCTCTCTCTCTTCTTTATCAGAAAGTGATTGCCGTGCCTGGTAATGCTGGGTGGTTTTTTTCCCACAGAAGCAGCCCTTGGCTCCGTGTTTTTTTTTATGTCTGTGGCTGTGTTCTCCAGGGTGTGTGCGTGTGTACCCCCTGCGTGCCTGATGCCCAGAGTCCAGAAGAGTGTTGCAGTCACTTGTGGGTCACCTGGTATTGGGAAGGGAACCCCGCTCCTCTGGAAGTGGAGTCAGTGTTCGTAACTGCTCAGCCGTCTCTCCAGCCCCTTGCTCTATATCTTGAAGCTCACGTGTAATCCAGTGGAGGAAGAAGTGGGCTGATACACTGCGTTCAGGGTTGGATGTTAGGAGTTTCTTGGGTGTGGTCTAACCTAAGCCAGTTAGACCTATGCTACTCAGGGTGTGTTCTCAAAACCATTGGTGTGTGAGCATCTGCAGGGACCTTACAAAGGCATGGCATTGGGCCACACCAGACCTACTAAAGCTGGCGCTCTGGGCTGAGATCCAGAACCCGAATGGCACCCTGGTGACCAGGCACGCTCGAGAAAGAATGCACACTGATTTTTTTTTTTTAAGGGAAGGCTCTGGGGCCATGGGCACGTTCAGAAGAGAGAGTTTCTGCTATGATTTATGGGCTACACTGCCATAGTCCGCAGATCTTTGTACTTTGGTCATGGGTGCCGAACCCACAATGCCGGGAGCAGCCTCATCCAGCCTTTGCCTCCCGCTCCCCGGATGCTCCCCGTCAACAGTGCGCGTGCGTCCTCTGCTTTCCCCGTTCCTCCTCAGTCCTCTCACTGCTGCATCTGTGTCCACAGAGGAGTTCGCGGTGTTTGGCCCCTCGCACCCGGTTGTGGCAGAACTCGGTGGGGAAGCCGTACTTCCGTGCTCCGTGTCTCCAGCCGTGAGCCTGGAGAGCATGGAGGAACTCAGGTGGTACCGCACCAGATTCTCAGAAGCGGTCTTTGTCTATCGGAACCAACAAGAGCAGGAGGGAGAGCAGCTGGCTGAGTTTTCAGGGCGGACCTCCCTGGTGAAGGACCAGTTCGTCGAAGGCAGGGCTGCCGTGCGCATCCACAAGGTCTGGACACCGGACAGTGGAGCATACATCTGCCTCTTCAAACAGGGGGTCTTCTATGCAGAGGCCATCTTGGAGCTGAAGGTGGCAGGTTGGTTAACTGATCCCTGTTCTAAAGATGTTGGGTGACCTGTGTTGGGAGGAAAGTAAGGGATGATGTCACTCAGCTCCTTAATTTACTTCATTTTTTGAGAGAGGATGTCACGTAGTCAAGACTGTCCTTGAGCCTGCTGTGTGGGAGAGGATGAGCCTGAATGTCTAATCTTCGTGCTTTTTCCTAAATGCTGGGCTCACAGGCATACTCTACACTACATGTTTCTGGTCCCTCGTTTTTATTTCTATTCATTTTTGGTTTTCCTTTTTTAATTCTTTTTTGGTTTTACGAGACAGGGTTTCTCTGTATTGTTGTGGAGGCTGTCGGTCCAGCCCAGCCTCGACTCACAGAGATCTGCTTGCCTCTGCCTCCCTTAGTTTTCCTTTTTTAAATGAGAGAGAGGAGGCACATTCCTATGTCCATTATTTCAATCCAAATTCTATACATGGGACACCTAAAATGTGCCAGTCCTTGCTCTGGGGACCATGGATACTGTCAGTGTCATATAAAATACTAGCTCTTGAATTCATATTTTAGAAGTGCAGGCAGAAAAATCTGAAACCCCAAGTGAGAAGTCATTGTTAAATGGTGATCAGTGCTCAAGACAAATGATTGACTAAGGAAGGATGTTCAGGGCATTGCCATCCATAGGGAGGAGCTTGGTGTGATCCTGCTCTCCTTGGGGGTCACAGGTGGATAATGGAGAGATGGAGTCATGGTTTCTACTTCAGGAATCTGAGATTCAACTTTCTTTAGTTTTCTAAAAGCCAATGCCAGGCAACAAGGACTCAACTAGGACTAAGCCAGGAGAGCTTTACCTCTTCAGTAAGAAAGGTTCTTATGAGAGACATAGGTGCTTCTGGGGTCTCTGAGCCCAGAGTGGCTGTTAGGGTCTTCACGTGTGTCCTCCTGCAGTCATGGGCTCTGTCCCTGAAGTGTACATCAAAGGTTCGGAAGATGGTGGCGTGTGTGTGGTGTGCAGGGCTTCAGGGTGGTACCCAAAGCCCCAGGTGCAGTGGAGAGACTCCAGAGGGGAGACGCTCCCAGCATCCCCTGAGACCCACAGTGAAGGTGCTGAGGGACTGTTCACCGTGGAGACCTCGATGGTGGTGAGAAACAGCTCTTTGGGGAATGTGACCTGCTCTGCCTCCAATCCCACCTTGGGTCAGGAGAAGGCCATGGCCATAGTCATCCCAGGTGAGGGCTGTTCCTCCCTTCTACAGAGCTTGGGACGTGGATGTCCTTCCCGGAGAGTGCTGGGCCGGCTGTCCTCAGCTGTCACTCACTGTGTGTCTGCCTGGGCCACAGAGCCCTTCTTCCCTCAGACTTCTCCCTGGGTGCCAGCTTTTGCTATCACCATGACCGTGACGGGACTTCTAGTCTTAGGGTCAGGCTGTCTTCTCATAAGAGAACAGTGTTCAAGGCGGCAGTTGCGGCAGGAGAGGGAGCGTCTGCAGTCTGAGAAGGAGACAAAGGAAGATGTCCTGAAGACCATTTGTAAGTCATGATAGCAGAAAGGATGGGCCAGGGTCTCCAGGAAGAGCCAGGGTTCTGGGATCAGAGTAGGTGACCAAGAAATCCCAGAGAGGATGGCTGGAGCCTGGGGGTCAGCTGGTCTGTGGTGTAGACTACTAGGAAAGAAAATTGAGTACATCCCCTCTCTTCTCTCTGTCTTCAGGCATACTCGATCGGGAGCTCGGTGAGTCATGCTTTTCCTCCCAACCCTGTGTCCCCTTAGTGTCCCAACAGCTCAGTTGACTCCTGTGTGTTATTTTGCAGATCGGAGGAAGGCAGCTTACATGGCTGGTGAGTGACTGCCCCAATGTCCCATGGTTCCTAGGCAGAATGGGAACCCCTTTAGGGACAGAGGTTGAAGGTTCTGTGAGGGGAAGCCTGGCCTATGGGTTCTTTCAGATCTCTGCCCAGAGACATGTGACTGCTGACGTGTCCTGTGCCCTGGGTCTATTCCTACCAGTTCCTGTCTCCTGCAGGGCTGACCTTTGGTTCCATTCGCTCTCGACTATTGCCTGCAACTGGGAGCCACAAAGCAGTATTCAAATTTTATTTAAAAAGTCTCAAGCCGGGCATTGGTGGCACATGGCTTTATTCCCAGCACTCGGGAGGCAGAGGCAGGCGGATCTCTGTGAGTTCGAGGCCAGGCTGGTCTACAAAGTGAGTTCCAGGACAGCCTCCAAAGCCACAGAGAAACCCTGTCTCGAAAAACAAAAACAAAACAAACAAACAAAAAAACAAAACAAAACAAAAAAAAGTCTCAGTTAGGTTTCCAGTGCTGTGATAAGAAACCAGGACCCAATGCAACCTGGGCAGCACGGGATTATTTGTCTTGTACGTGTTCACCTCACAGCCCATCACTGAGGAAAGCCAGAGTGGGAGCCCGGAGCAGGAACTGATGTGGAGACCACAGACAATGTCTGCTTCCCTGCCTGCTCTCAATGGCTTTTCCAACCTGCTTGCTGATACATGCCAAGCCTACCTGCCCTAGGGTGGCACTTTTTGCTGGCTGCTTCTGGGATAATCACCAGCCAGGATAATGTCCTGCAGCCTTGCTTACCGCTGTTCTGCTGAGGGCATTTTCTCAACCGAGTCTCCGGCATCTCAGGTGACTCCAGCTTGTGTCACACTGACAAAAAGCTCACCAACAAGAATGCTCATAAGTAAGCGAGGTCCTGGAGTATGGCCTCCACCCATTCCGCAGTCATCCCTCAGGGAGTCTGTTCCCTCAGCTCTGAAGGTGTGGATCAGAGTGGTGGGCCCAGGCCGGGATGCTGACCTTCTAAGGGCTGGAGAGGAATGGTAGGCTGTGTGCCCCTGGACTGGAGGTGCCTGATCCTAGAGATGTTTTACATGAGGACACTGTGTGCTTCACCCAAGAACTCACTTCCTGTCCACTGTCATTTCCAGCACATATTCAAACATACCTTTCCAAAAGAGCTGATGTTGCCGGGCGGTGGTGGCGCACGCCTTTAATCCCAGCACTTGGGAGGCAGAGGCAGGCGGATGTCTGTGAGTTTGAGGCCGGGCTGGACCGATAGCCTCCAAAACAATACAGAGCAACCCTGTCTCGTGAAAACCAAAAAAAAAAAAAAAAAAAAAAAAAAAGAGCTGATGTTGTCATCGTTTCTGACAATTGTAGACTATTTTGTTTTATTCTCTAAGATTTTCCCCCCACATGGCAAGGTTTTTATTAAGAGTTTGAGAGGGAAGCTGAAGATTATAGAACCTTCTTCTTCTGCTCTTCTTTTTTGATATTTTGGTTTTTGAAGTGGAGGCAGGTGTTTGATAACTAAAGAGCCACACAGCACTGGGACAGTGGGTGAACCTCGCCTCCAACACCATCTTTCCCCTCAGTGGTCCAGGGAATCTCCCACAGTCCTCTGCTGCCTCTGCATCTTGCAGGAGTCGGCTCCTCGGCGTCCTCTCTCCTCTCAGCTCAAGCCTCACCTTTAGAATGGAGGGAGGGGCGGGTTAGGGACTGCTCTACCGGGGCTGTTCTGATGACGTCTCAGGGGAATATGTTCCTTTACAGCCTGGAGGAAGGCCCAGCTGTATGCAGGTACGTGACTGTTGGATTGCTATCGTCTGGGCAGAGCGTGTGTCTCCCATTTTCCCCTGCTGTGGTGAAACACCAGGACCTAAAGCACCTGGAGGAGGATAGTTTGTGAGACTCTCACTTCCAGTCCCTCCCCACAGCAAGGAAGGGTGGGGTCACACAGGGCAGGACTGTGGAGTCCGGAGCTGATGCGGCATCCTCGGGGGAGTGCTGGGTACCAGACTGCTCCCCCTGGCCTGCTGAGTGTCTCTTGTCATTCACCCTATGACCGCTGTCCTTGGAATGACACCTCCCACCATGGGCTGGGTTTTCCTGTATCCATCATCACTCACCCATGGACCCAGAAATTCCCCCAGGACTTGCCCAAGGGCCAATCCTGTGGAAGAATTTCCTCTGTTCAGATTCCTTCCTCCCAGATGACCCCACCTGTGTCAAGCTCACTAACAGATGGTTGGCACAATGTATCTGTTGTTTTCTTGAGCTGTCACAATCTGTGCCTCCCCAAAGGAGACCTGCAGAAGACTGGGCCCACGTAGAGAGAAGAGCCACAGGGGGCTTCCCTCCCCAAGATGCTCTTTCTCTGTCGCTCTCTCTGTCTCTGTCTGTCTGACTGTCTGTTTGTCTCTGTCTCCCTCTCTCCCAGTCTCTCTCCCTCTCTCTCAATCTCTCTCTGTCTCTGTCTGTCTCTGTCTCTCTCCCTCTGTCAATCTCTCTTTGTGTCTCTGTCTCTGTCTCTGTCTCTCTCTGTGTGTGTGTGTCTTCACCCTCTCTCCAGCAGGATGACACCAGTTTCCTTCTGTCCTTGTTACTGATGAGCCTCCATCAGGACATCACAGGGATGTCTTCTCAGACTCCCAGAATGCACTCTGGTTTGTCCTCTAGAGTAAGTCATTTTCAGCATCAGCACGACACAGTCTGCCATGCCCTGGTTCTGTGGACTTCTTGTAGGTGTAGGGTTAATGGGAGGAGTTCAGCTTCTAGTGGCGTCTGATGGATGGACATGATGACCCTGTGGATCAGAATTGCTGTTCTCAGAAAAATTCCAGAAGTCAACTCAGGCAGCCTAGGACTCTGCTCTCCCTAAGACAGTCTTTGTTTCTGTGTCCTCCTTAAAGTTGGCATTCCTATGCTTTTGTCTCAATTTTGAGTTCCCTTTCTTCCTAGTCCTCTGTTCTATTGGTGTTCTCTCTCTCTCTCTCTCTCTCTCTCTCTCTCTCTCTCTCTCTCTCTCTCTCTCTCTCTCTCTCTCTCTCTGTCTCTCTGTGCTCTGGTCTGTGGTCTCTGCTGGATTCTGTCTGCAGAGCACCTGGCTGCTCAGGGATCAGGTGTTGAGACCATGTGTCCACTGTCTCCTGGGTGTTTATGGTCTTGCCAAGGCTTGTGTGATCCACTTGAAATTAAGCATGACTTTCTGTAATGTTTGTATCAAAGCCACCGATGTGCAACTTAGCATTGCTCACAAGCAGATTTCCTTATTTATTCATTAGTGTATGAATGTTTTACCTGAATATATGTCTGTGTGCCATGTGCATGCCTGGTTTTGTTGGCGTCCTAAGGAGTGTGTCAGATCTCCTGGGACAGGAGTTACAGATGACCATGAGCATCCATATGTGAGTTCTTAGAACTGACCCGAGTCCTCTGCAAGATCAAGTGCTCTAAACCCCTGAGACATTTTCTTGGTTTGCTTGTGTTTCTGTAAGAACAAGCCTGGTCCTTGCAGGCACTGAGGTGTAGCGTGCCCTCCATCCATGCTGTTGTTTTTCTGAGGCAGGCTCTTACTATGTAGCTGAGGCTGGTCTCTAACTCACCATGTAGCTTAGGCTGGTCTCAAACTCAGGCCCCTGCTTCATCCCATCCCTCTCTCTCTGTCTTGGAAAATTTCATATTAAAGGATGTCTCCCTTCCAGGATTGTTGTGTGTCTGGGACCTGACAAGCCTTAGCGAGAGGATGAGACTACATCGCTCTTCTGCCTTCATTAGGAATGGATGTTCAATGCCATTGGTCAAGGCTTTATGGAAAGCTACAGCAGATGTGTTTGTGATTGTGTGTGTTTATGTGTGTGTATGTGAGTCTCTGTAAGTGAGATTGTGTGTGTGTGTGTGTGTGTGTGTGTGTGTGTCTATGATTGGTATATTGTCCCCTCAACTCCCAGGCCTGTGTTTCACAAGACAGCACTGGTCAGATGGGTGTGGTGTCTGAGACTGCTCACATGACCTGTGTTTCTCTTGCAGATTGGCGCAAGGAGCACTTCCAGGCCTGTGAGTGACTCTGTGTTCCTTAGGAACACTCCTCCTGCTCTCCCCATAGCTCTGGTGTCTCCTTCTGTCCTCTGTGGTGATCCAGGAGGTGGCAGGTTCAGTGGTGGCAGTGTGGGAGGGAGGCAGAGGGGACAGCCACTAAGCTGGGTCTGGTTCTCAAGAACCCTGTGACCTTGTAACCCCCTAGTAAGTCGTTTTCCCCTTCCCCTGCATGCAAGCCATGGGCTTGAGGCACAGGCTGTTCTGTGAGGGCCTTGTCCCCCTAGAAGAAGCTGGGAGGCCCTGATGTGGAGGTGGGCAGCTGTGGCCTTGTTTGGGGCTGAAGAGGACATCCCGTGACTGGGGACTCTCCCTGCAGGGCCTGTCACTCTGGATCCAGACTCTGCCCACCCAATCCTTGCCATCTCTCAGGACAGAATGCAGGTGACCCTGACGGACAACACTATGTGCCTGGATGACCACTTCAGTGTGTTAGGCATGGAAGGCATCTCCTCAGGAAGATGTTACTGGAAGGTGAAGATAAAGAATGGAGACTGCAGCAAGTGGATTCTTGGGGTTTGTCGGGGAGATGTGGAGAGGAAAGGCTTGTACTTTGAGAGTCCAGAGAAGGGGTTCTGGACTGTGGGACGCTCTAGTAGTGGCTATTGGGCCTATATTGACACTGGGAGAACTTTATTATCCTTTAGGAAAACTCCCCAGTGTGTGGGGGTGTTTGTGGACTACAGTGAAGGTGACATTTCCTTCTATAACATGAGTGACTTGTCCCACATTTTCTCCTTCCACAAAGCCTCCTTCTCTGGGACTCTTCTCCCATACTTCAGGATTAAGTCTGGAAGTGTTTGGATGTCTCTCTGCTCCATTGCACAGGCTTGTGATGGAGAAGAGGGAGAGGGGAGGAGCAGGAGGAAAGAGAGGAGTTGGGAGAGGGGGAAGAATGGGAAGAAGTCGATTTTGTCTCCTTTGAAGCAGTCTCTGAGTCCCCCAGGGGAGATGCTCACCCCAGGCTCCATTGGTACTGACTGTCCCCCAGGGGAAGAATCCCCATTCCTCCCTCATCCAGGTCACATTTTGCCTTCATAGTGCAGATCACTGCCTCTAGGCTGTCAGTGTGACTCTTGTTGGACTGTAGAAGCCACAGGCAAAGCCCCCAGGATGAGTCCTGCAAGGGCCTGGAGCATTGACCCAATGCTCTCAGGTCTGACTCTGAGGTGTGGCTGTGGAGCTGGGGGTCCAAGCTTCGCGTTCAGGCAGCAGAGGATGAGCCCCGCCCGATTATTGCTTCAGCTGGTTTGAACAACGGGAAGGCGTGTTCCATTATGCCCCCTTTGGTGTAAATGGCATTTTCTTGGGTTTTCACACCATTTGGTAGGAAATGGAGCAAGGACTGAATGGACTTTGTTTTCATTCATTCACCTGGTTGGGCACCTAGGGTCTGCCCTGTATGTTGGCCCTTGTGACCAGTGTGCCGTGACTATGGGAGAGAAGATGACTTTGACACATGAACTGCTGTCCCCTGGATTTGTTCCCAGAAGTCTCATTGGTAGATCATAACTTCCAGTGGCCGTCTCTGTGGACAATAAACTGTCTTTGAGTGTCTGTGAAGCATCCTTATCATTTTATCCATTGTCAAGACTTCTTTCATAAATTCCTTGATATCTGTATTAGAGTCTGTCTCTGTCTCTCTGACTCTCTCTCTCTCTCACACACATAAACACACAGACAAACATATGACAATCTATATTTTCTGGATGTTGGCTTCATATGGTTTAAGTGTTTACTGTTCTATCTATCATGTATGCATGTATCTATCTATCTATCTATCTATCTATCTATCTATCTATTTGCTGTTTGTGTTCTATCTGTCATCTATCTATCTATCTATCTATCTATCTATCTATCTATCTATCTATCTATCTATCTTCTGTTTGTGTTCTATCTATCTATCTTCTAAAAAAGGATTTCTTGTATCCCGGGCTGACTTGGAACTCCTCTTGTAGCCAAGTATGGTGTTTTGAATGAGAATGCTCCCTGTAGTCCCTTATGTTCGGACACTTGGTCCCCACTTGGCTGTGGTGTGGGTTGTTTTGGGCTGTGAAGCCTTGATGATGTGTGTCACCGTCACCGGTGTAGGCCGTGAAGATCCCACACTGTGTACCATTCCCCTCTTGACCTCTTTGCCTCCTGATTGCGGTTCAAGACATAAGCTCTCAGGTTCCTGCTCTGTCACCGTGGAGTCCTGTCCATCTGGAGCACTTGTGACAGGACAAGATGGCGCAGAGGTTCCTCCACCTTTATCCTCTTTATTCTCACTGAGGAATTTGATCTCCTTTATGGGGAATCCCATGGAAAATTATCCAGCTCTATTCTGGGAACCAAGGTCAAGATGCCCCAGGTAGCTTATCTTAGTGTCTGTTAAAATGTTTGCTTAAGTGAGGGTCTCTGCATCTTCTGAGTGGGATGCCTGCATGTGGGTTTTGCATCCAAACGGACCACACTCTGGATACTTAGGGCTTCATTTAGGTCCCTGAGTGCCTGAGTGTAGTCCATGTGAGTCTCGGAGTTCTTGAATGTAGTCCCATCTGGGTCCCTGAGTACCTGGGTTGGGATGAAGTACCAGCTGGGATGAAGACTTTCAGCTGTGTGTGACCTGTCTGAGTGGTCTCTTCTGGGGTGCTCCCATCACACAGTAAGCCCAAGCAAACTCTTCCTTCTATATGTTGCCTGGTCATGGCATTTTAGCACAACAACAAAGAATTAACAAATATGGAAACTTGTGCTTGAAATGTGGGGTGTGTTTTCTTACCAATTTAATGTGTGTGTGTGTGTGTGTGTGTGTGTGTGTGTGTTGGCTAGTTTTTAATGCCAGCTTGACTCAAGCTAGGGTCATTTTGAAAGAGGGACAGACCCTCGATTCAGAAAAGACCCTCATTAGGTTGGCCCATAGGCAAGCCTGTGTGGCATTTTCTTAGTTAATGGTTGATGTTGTAGGACCTACCTAGCCTGTTTTGTTTCCCTGGACTGCAGCAGGCTTTCCTTTGGGACTCCATCCAGCTCCAAAGTCATGAAATAGAGACTTGCTATTAATCGCGAATGCTTGGCCGTATCTTACGCTTGTCACACTAGCTCTTCATCTGCGTTTTGCCTCGTGGCTTTTCATTTCTTTCATTCTGTATGTCCTGCTCTGTGTGTGTGTGTCTGTCTGGTTGCTGCCTGGCTGCCCTGGGATTGTCTTCCTCTCTCTGTCCCTTATTCTCTTCTCACTTCTCCTCTGAGCCTAGATTCCTCCTACTTACTCTCTCTGCCCACCTTCCCCACCTAACCCTCTACTGCCTGGCTATTGGCCATTCAGCTTTTTTGGTTTGGCCAATCAGATGCCTTAGGCAGGCAAGATGGAGACAGCCACACATCTCTACACAGTGATAACGACACTCCACAACGCTGCCCTGCTGGTCCTGGGTGCTGTTGGAAACAGGCAGAGCAAAGCCACAGAGAAAGCTGTGGGGCAGCCCCCTCCATGGCCTCTGCGTCAGCTCCTGCCTCCAGGTCCCTGCCCTGCTTGAGCCCCCATCCTGACTTCCTTGGATGATGAACAGCGAAGTGGAAGTGTGATTGGAATACACCCCTCTCCCTCCCCGTGTCGCCTGTGCTTGTCGTGGCGTTTTGCTACAGCGCAGAAGCCTTAACTGAGGCAGAGTGCATATGGACCCTTTTTTGGGAAATGTGCCATAGAGTCAAGACATTAAGGACTGAGGCTACATCTCCGTGTCGAGTACTTGACCCTTGTCCGTGAGGTCCTGGGTTCAACCCTCAGTGTTGTAAAGCAAAGCAAAGAGCTACCGGATGTAGACAGCATTTGTCAGGTTAAAGAATTTCCTCTTTAACCATATTCCTATTTTATTCATAATTGTTTCCTCAAGCAGAGTTTGCAAAAATTATCTCCTATGAGCCGAGCTGAATTTGGTTGTGTGAGTATGCCCACGGGGGGATGATGTAAGCATTTATTTAATGCAAAATGTCCATAGTGCTTTGTGCTATGAGAAGAGATGAAGTTTAAAATTTCAGCATCCACAAATAATGTCCATAGTGCTTTGTGCTATGAGAAGAGATGAAGTTTAAACTATCAGTATCCACAAATAATGTCCATAGTGCTTTGTGCTATGAGAAGAGATGAAGTTTAAAATTTCAGCGTCCACAAATAAAATGTCCATAGTGCTTTGTGCTATGAGAAGAGATGAAGTTTAAAATTTCAGCATCCACAATTAAAGTTTTACTGGGACACAGTGGTGTTCACTCATTTGTATGGCTGCCTTGGTGCACCAAGAAGACAGTACTGAGCTGCTGTGGCGGGGTATAGGAGGACAAGAATGTGCATCTTTTCGTGTTATAGAAAAATTTAATTCGCATTTGCAAAGTAGTTATTTTGTTTAGTAATGAAACAATAATTACACAGTCATTTTATTTAGTAGTTCTACTGGCCCTTTTAACGTAATGACTGGTGGTGTGGTAAAGTTGGCTTCTTGGTTATGGGGAGTCGGGCATGAACAACATCTGGACCCCAGTGCCTCCTCGTACAGATGTGCAGGCTGAGCACAGGGTCCAGCCTTCCTCCCCAGTGGTCCTTTTGGGTGGCTGTGAGAGGGAGGGGACTGCAGAGTGGAGGAACGATAGAGGGCAAGATGGAGGGGTGGGGAGGGGTGGGGAGGGGTGAGGAGGGGTGGGGAGGGGTGGGGAGGGGTGGGGAGGGGTGAGGAGGGGTGGGGAGGTGATGGCGGGACAGAAGGAAGAGCTTTAGGAATGTTGGCGGGATGAAGGGGAGGGTGTGGGTTGGGTCAGAATGAGGCTGTCTGTGCAGAAGAGGGTGTGGAGTGAGGAGGGGGAAGGGGTGGGTTCCTGGCAGTGGAATGAGCTGGACCCGGCAGGCCCCGCGGCTCCTTGCTCTCACCCTTACCAGCCTGAGGAGTTCTAATCTTCTGGGGACTGTGGCATCTACTCTTGACTACATCTAGAATTAACTAAAACCCAAGCATCGGGGTACACCCGTGGGCAGTCTTTTTTTCTCTTAAGTAAGTATCAAAGTGGTAAGACCAACTTTGAACCTGGATCTTTTGAGGTGGTTGTAGGAGGAGATCTTAGGTGACCGTGCTGCTGAACACGCCCACTTTGGGCGTGGCTAAGGTGGTGCAGGAGAGAGGCACGCTCTCTTTCGGCTCCCGATCCGGTCGCGGAAAGCTGCTGATTCACCTGGGTTGCCAGTTTCTCCTGTAAGTACTTTCCACGGTAAATGATTACCTACACCCTCATCAAGCGTGCCGTTTGTCATCAAGAGTTTCGGAATCCGGCTCCAGAAGCCGTGGAAGCGGCTGCCCCTCCTCAGCACAAACACCGCTGGCTCCAGGCACACGTGGACTCTCGTGTCACTGAGCTGCATCCAGCAACCAGACGGTTCCCACCACCTTGCTCAGTAAGGCACGATTCCTGCCACCCCTGCCACCGCTCACAACCAGAACGAGCACCTTAGAAGCTGCTGCATTTGCCTGCCGGTAAGGTTCCCTGGACAGCCACTGTGCTCCTTTACTGGTGGCCTGCTGAATTCGGCCTGCATAAAAATCCACTGGTAATAAGATTAACTGGTCTATACATATGGCGAATAACATTACAATGCAGGACATTAGGAATTTTCTTGGTTTTTTTTTTTGGTTTTTACGAGACAGGGTTTCTCTGTATTGTTTTCGAGGCTGTCGGTCCAGCCCGGCCTCCAACTCACAGAGATCCGCCTGCCTCTGCCTCCCGAGTGCTGGGATTAAAGGCGTGTGCCACCACCGCCCGGCTTTCTTGTTTTTTTGTATGGATGAGATGTTGGAAAGGGTTGAGGACCTACCTGGAATGTACTTTCTATCTGCTATAGTGGTTATCAGTTTGGTAATCCATATAATTTCATTAAAGAAATGGTTTGAGAATAGGGCAAAAAATGACAAACTTATACGAATCATACGGTCATACAAGATGGTTATGAAAACCTAGTACAAAGAATTCAGACAATGGATAATTCCTTCCAGAATAGTAAGGAAGGTTTGGTAAAAAATATTCAGAATATTCAAAATGATAATGAAGATCTGACAAACAGGGTTAAAGTGACAGAACATAAAATTGAATTACTTTCAGGAAAAATGTGTTCCATATCTATTGATTCAACAGACAGAATACAAAAAGAGGAACATTATGTTGAAACACTTAACCAAAAAAACTGTTCCGTGTTTGATGATTTCACTAGCAAAATACAAAGACTGGAACATAAGATTGAAATGCTAACAGAAAAGATTTGTTCCATGTCTGAGAGTAATGACAAACTAGCTGATAGAACGTTATTTTTGGAAGGCAGCTTACATGCTATTCAGATGATTTCTAAGGATGAGGATATTAAATGTTTGGAATTACATATAAATAATGAATGCAAAAAAAAGAGAACGATTCCATGACATCCTTGGAAATTTATTTGACACAAGAACTTCAAGAGCTCAGAGAAACAATAATAAATAGATTGAACATTTCAGAAGATGTCCAATCTGATATTTCAGAATCGGACATACAGGCAACAG